CATTGGAAGTTAGAAGACAGTAAAACAACGCATTCTGAGGAAAAATTACTTTTCCTCAGGATTATACATCTAACCAGATTACCAGTAATTTGAGTAAAATTTGAAGAAAAAAAAACGGTTTCGGTGTCTCAAAAAATTGACCTCCCATGAATCATGCATGGCTTTTTAGGAGGCTTCTAGATGAATGTGCTTTAGTAAAACGAGGGCATAAAGCAAAAAAGGAGACACGGGATCCAAGAAACAGAATCCAACATAGAATGGGGGCAGGGGAATTCCCAGGATGTTGGTTTAATGCAATTTCAGGCCCAGTAGCAGCTTAGTGCAACTTTGAGGGGAAGCAGTGTAGATTGGAAGGTTGGAGGACTTGAGGGCCAATGTATCCAAGATAGACATGGAATTGGTAAACTAGTTGTGGTCATATGGAAAAATGTATCAAGAGTTTTTCAGAGCTGTTGGAGAGTGTGGGAAAACTTGAGATGTTGAAAGAAAACTAAGCAAACTATTGGGCGCAAAAGTGCAATATTTTTGGGGTGCCTGGGTGGCTCAGTCATTAAGCGTCTGCCTTCGGCTCAGGTCATGATCCTAGGGTTCCGGGATGGAGTCCCATGTCAGGTTCCCTGCTTGGTGGGGAGCCTGCTCCTCCCTCTCCCGTTTACGCAGCTTGTGTTCCCTCTCTCACTGTCTCTCTCTGTCAAATAAATAAATAAAATCTTTAAAAAAAAAGTGCAATATTTTTGTAGCCCTAGTAATAAAAATAATAAACTGATTCGATAACAAAAAGAGAATTGTGATAGGTTGAGAATCAGTAAACTGATAGTTTCATATAGATAATAGATAGCTGGAAAGGCAATTGATAATTTCAACCGATGAACAAGTCTCAGTCTCCTATATGATTTAGTAATATAGAAGTAAAGTCCAGTAGAAACAGCTAAAAGAACTGAAGATTCCTCTCCAGAGTGGGATGGGGGCAGGAGGGAGGGGAGGAGAAGGCAAGGAGCTATTTTTTTATTATTATTATTACTGTAAAGCTTTAGCACTCTTTGACCTTTAAAAAAACTATTTGCATGCAGTAATTGGACTCATGATAAAGATTATTTAAAATTTATATAAAGAGAAGTCAAATGATGCACATTGACTTCCGTGCCACATTGAATCCTTAGGCAGAATTCCATTGCTAAATGTAGATGTAAAGAATCTGAAAACTCCAATTACAGCTGCCGTCTGGCTCTTGTCACTGCTGTGGCAGCCGTCCCTCCTGAAGAATGAGACCGCCGGAGGAAGTGGCCATCACAGGACCAGAGTGACAAGAGTGCAGAATTTCCTTTACTAGGGGTGTCTGATGTTCTCTCTAGGAAGGTTTAAATGTGGTTCTGCTTGTTGACAATTGTAAAATCACTTCTTAGAACCTTTCCAATTTAATATATGTGTAAATCTCTAAAATTCCTAGAAACAAATAGAAGATCCTTGGAGAGTGAAGATGTCATTTCTTCCCCGCTAAATCATAAAAACTCCAAGTAAAATCAGTCCTTATTAGCATGTATTAAAATATTAGTATGCCTGGGGCCCCTGTGTGGCTCAGTCAGTTAAGTGTCCGACTCTTGATCTCAGGTCAGGTCAGTCATGATCTCAGGGTCTTAAGATCAAGCTCCACGTTGGGCTCCATGCTGTGTATGGAGCCTGCTTAAGATTCTCTCTCCCTCTCCCCACCAAAATAAAATTTAAAAAAATAAAATAAAATATTAGTATGACTTAGTTCATATTCTGATGCTTTCTTTACAGGTACATATTTTATTTTTTTTTTGAAGATTATATTTATTTATTTGAGAGAGAGACAGAGTGAGAAAGAGCATAAGTGGGGTGAGGGGCAGAGAGAGGAGCAGACTCCGCTGAGCAGGGAGCCCGATGAGGGGCTCGATCCTGGGACTCTGGGATCATGACCTGAGCCGAAGGCAGAAGCTTAACGACTGAGCCACCCAGGCACCCCTACAGGTTCATATTTTAAATAAATACACAATTTTTAAATTATATAACTGATATCTGTTTATGGTTAAGAAATAAAACTTCAAACAGTTGAGAAGCATGTATACTTAATGTAAAATTTGTCCTTCATTCCTATTTTTGTCTCCCTTCTCTGACTTCTGCTCTATAGGAGTGGATTTCAATAGCTTGGTAAATCACTTTGCATGCCACTACTTTTTGAGATTTCAAGAAGGATGGAGATGAGAAAGCAATTCAAGAAATTGAGCGCTATATATGATGAGAGAGTGAATATATACAGGGATTGGCTAGACTATCTATGAACATAGGTCTCTGACCCACAACCTCTGCAGCAAGCGGTCCAGAGAGCCTAACGACAATCTCTGCTGCAACTGGTCTAGAATGATCAGAACTCGCTCAGTGACTGCCCGCTTCCCTATTTCCTGCTCTTGCCTTTATCTCAGGACTAACCAGAGACAACCAAATATCCTCCCCAAATCTGTATAAAATGTCCTGCTTTTAGGTGTCCTGCTTTCAGCTTTCCCATGTCCATCACCTCCCATTAAAGCATAGCCGAAGTGTTCCCCTTTTTTTGCTATAAAGTCTTTCCACTCCTCTGCCCACCTTTGAGTCCTTGCCACACACAGGTGATAGTAGCTGACTCCCAAGTTAGAGCAAGTTCTGAATACCTAGCCACCGTTCTCATTTAGGTGGCCATCATTTATTTCCGCAATGACAAGCAGAAGTTCCCCAAAAGGAGCAAAAATGATATCAGAATCACTGTTTAGTCTGCTACTTCAATAGAACCTTCATTCATTGGGTTCAACTAATATGTATCATGCATGTATGAACCAGGCGCTAAAGTAAATTGTATTTCACTAGGACAAATTTGTCTAAGAAGGACACTACGTAGCTGAAGCCTTGGGAGCTGGAAATTCAAATTTTCAGTCACTGTTTATGGTCGAAGCAGGCAAACTATTTACTTCAAACTTCTCAAAGTACTTTCATTAAATATGAATGAAGAGAAGGCCTCAGCAATTAATACAATGGCAGAAAAGAATTACTAACAATAATGTGTTTCATGCTAGTCTTATTTTAAAAAAATCTCTTGGTACCTCTGAAGGTTGGTAACACTATTGGGGGTTATTGTTAGAGTTGTTTTTAAAATTACATAAGTAATTACTTGTCTAAGGATGATTGTCCCCCCGCCACCCACCAAAAAATTATGTTCAGTTTACTAATGCAGACCACAAAGTTTTTCATTAATAAAGTTGGCAAACAAAAGCATCTGAAAACATCCAGGGAGTGATATTCTAGTAAGTTTTACTGAAGATGACATTTTCATTAGCACTGCTAATGAACTATGCTTATTCCTTTGTGGAGCTGTGATTTATTAAAAGAATTAAAAGTTTGGAAAAACGCCCAAAAGAATTACACTCATTCATTTTGAATATGACTACAGTATTTGCAATAGAAAAATTAGTGAGTATTCCCTAAAGTCATGGTGGCTTTTAAACACTGCATAATTCTGGGTATTGCCATCAGCAAAGCATTGCACCATTGCTCATTAAAAGGATAATGTCATTATAATAGCTTTACTCTGAGGCATAAACCAGTTAGATGAAGCACCAGAAAAAAGAAAGGCAAAAGTTTGGTGAATCATTCTTGTTCTACAGTTTGGTGACTCTACATTAAAGCCAGAGAGAAAAGCAGCTTGTGGCTTAATTTGAAGGATCTTCCAAGGAAATGCTGCAAGAGTACACAATTCTTATAATTGGTCTCTAGGTTTCATTATCTCTGTTCATGAAGTTGCCTGTTCACACTTAACTTTGCAAGTTAACTGTGAACAAATCAAGAGAGCATAAAAACAAACATAGCACAGCATTTAGAAAGATCTCCTTCTACCAGTGCATTTGATTCCCTTTTTTTCACGGTGACCTTATACTGGAAACTTGGGTGTGACTAGTGCTGTTCTAGCCCAAAGTGCCAGGAAGTTCAGCTCAGATCAAGGGCAAGTTCAGGCCAGGTCGACTCTGAGGTTAGCCTATTCACTTGTCCTGTTTCAGGCTGGGATCGCATGAGGAACACAGGTTACTGGGGATCAGTAGAGCAGTTCTCCAAAGCCTAACTACTTGGCTGGTCAGCAAAATTGCCCTGTGGGGTGGATTTGGGCTCTGAGCACAGAATCTCATTGAGCACCTTATAAATCTGGTCATGGTGAGAGGGCTGTGCAGAAGTGTGCAAGGGAGACTCCTATTCAGAGAAAGTTCTTACCCTAGAATCCTCCATACTTAAGGAGCAGGCTGCTTTAAAATTCTTAACTCCAGTCTTCTTAAAGGTAAAATGTTGCTTTCTAGAGAAGTGGTTAGGTCAGGGATTTATATTATAGGATAACAGACTTACACAGTCCAGAGCTAGTGCTAGGAGCAGGGGAACTGCATGAGTCCTTCTGCCCCAGGGAAAACCCTTGTGTCCAAGGGGCTCAGTACAGGATGCTCTTGGAATGGTGCCAATGGATAGTACCCTTGGTGGTTCTAGAAGGAGGCTGGGTCTCTGGAGGCTCTGGAGGGTGGTCAATGTACCAAGCTCAGTTGTCAGTGTAAATGTTGCTCACCTTCAAGTAGAAAATGTGAAAGTGTTAGCAACAAGAGAGCCATAATTCTTTGATCGGGTCAATTTCGTCCAAGCAATACTTAACACCACCTATTATGTTTTGGGCACTATGACCACAAAGGTGAATATAACCCAGTTCTTGCCCTCAAGGAGCTATGGTTAAATGAAGGAAGTCAGTACAGGGAACTTAAGTATAATGTGATACATGACAAGAAAGCAAACCCGGGCTGAGCTTTGAAGGATAACTTAGCCAAAGGAAGAAAGGTGGAACACGTTTCCTGTCTGGAAAGAGGAGGATGAAAAGCAGCAATGACGCCTTGGGAAATCAGGGGCAAGCTAGGCACAGTGAGGGTCCTTTCTATTATTACAGGCTTAGAATTCTAGATTTCTGTGTTTTCTGAGAAGAGCAGTCTGAGTCTCTCCAGGCACATGTAATAGCATGATGACCTTCATGATCAGAAGCTGTGGTGAGCATCCCACTAAAGTCCCTACTGAAGCAGGTACTATGCTCTCATGCACACAGGGTGGGGTTTAGGCTTCAGTCTCCCTCCCTCCTTCCTTCCTTCCCCAGAAGCTTCTCATGCCTTTTTTTTTTTCAAGATTTTATTTATTTTTTGACACACAGAGAGAAAGAGAGAGTGAGAGAGGGAACACAAGCAGGGGGAGTGGGAGAGGGAGAAGCAGGCTTCCCAAGGAGCAGGGAGTCCAATTCAGGGCTGGATCCCAGGACCCTGGGATCATGACCCGAGCCAAAGGCAGACGCTTAATGACTGAGCCACACCTTCTCAGCCTTTTGGCATTACTTTGTCAATCTTGTTCCCCTCCCTTTCCTTCGCTTCCCCCAAAATGACCTCCTTTTTTAAGGCAAGGAATTCTGAACTGAAGGTAGGTCTCTAACATGGCCTTATTGGTGAGAGACCTTGGAGTTCCCAGCATACTTTGTTCCTAGGGTACTTAAGCACTTTTTTTTTTTCCAGGTAGACTCCATACCAAGTGTGGAGCACAGTGTGGGGCCCAAACTCACGACCATGAGATCAAGACCTAAGCTGAGATCAAGAGTCAGACACTTGGCTGACTGAGCAACCCAGGTGCCCCTTAAGCACCTTGATGTCAGGCTATATGGGGAGTGATCCCATCAAGCAGGTGTTAGTTCTAGAAAGACTGCCTAATTGAGCACAAGAATGAGAGGGATGGATCGCCTAGGGAGGAAGGGAGGGAGCGGGGGAAGATGGGGGCACTGAGGGCTGGGATCTTCTTGGGTTAGGAGCTGCTCTCTGTCATCCCCAACTTCTGCAGATTCATGCTGACCTGCTAGGAGATTATTAGCTTTTGACTCAAAAGAATCGATTGACACAGTTGCCAAAGTATTCTTGAAAAATTTGCCATCTGATAGAATGAACCTTAGAATTACTTTTTCTTTACTAACATTTTCTTCCAGTTTATGTGCTCAGGGAAGAAACGAAACAAAAAAGCACTAGGAAAATAAACAAAAATTAAACAAAATCACACAACCAAAAGATAACTACCAGCATTGTTGTAGATATTTCCAGTATCTGTCATGCATATATTTTTTTCTTACAAAAATAATATCATACATGTTATTTTGTAGCCTCCTGTTTTTAAAGGGAACTTACACTTTTTTTTCAGCTTCAAAGGGCTTAATAAGTGACGATAACAGGAAATTAAGGATCTGTATGAGTGATATTTATTCCTTGGAAAATGTGTGCTACAATTTAATTAATGGGTTAAACATTAAACATTGCCGTATTGGTGTTTCATATAGATGTTTACCCATTTAAGATGATTATTAAACACAAATCCTATATCTACACAAATATACACCCAGTAACCCGGGAATCAGGAGATTGGAGTGATCCTGTCGGTATTGTGCCCTCGACTTGATAAACAACCTTAAGCAAATCAATTCAATATTGCTTTTCTAGATGAAGTCAAAATTTTTAAACATGGTGTATGAGGTCCTGTGTTGTCTGGTCTCTGCGGCCATATTAGAATCACATGCAGTTCCCAGAATGTACTATGCTCTCCTGTGCTTGCATATTTTTTAAACATTTTTTTGAAACCTGGAACACTCCTTCCCATATGCCTCATTAACTCCTCTTTGCTTTAAAAAATTTTTTAATTATAGTGAAATACACGTAACACAAAATGTACCATCTTCACCATTTTTAAGTGTATAGTTCATTAGTGTTGGGTACATTCACATTTTGCACAACCAATCTCAAGAACTCTTTCCATCCTGCAGAACTGAAGCTCCTTACCCATTGAACAACTCTCCATTCCTTCTTCCCCCCAGCCCCCGACAACCACCATTCTACTCTCTGTCTCGAAGAATTTGATCACTCTGGATGCCTCTTGTAAGGTGAATCATTCAGTATTTATCTTTTTGTGACTGGCTTTTTTCATTTAGCATAATGTTCTCAAGGGTTATTCATATTGTAGCCTGTGTCAGGATTTCTTTCCTTTTGAAGACCGAATAATATTCCATTGTATGTATATACTACATTTTCTTTATCCATCCACCTGCTGATGAACACTTGTGATGCTTCCACCTTTCGGCTATTGTGAGTGCTACTGCTATGAAGATGGTTGTACAAATACCTCTTCAATATCCTGCTTTCATTTTGGGGGGTTATACAACCCGATGTGGAATTATTGGATCACATGATAATTCTATTTTTGTCGCCTCCTTTTAAAACTTTGCTTTCTTATACTTCTTTTCCCCAGATTAATAGTAAGCTACTCGCTTACAGAATGACTTTTATTATTCATATTTTATCAAATAACTCTACTTAATTGGTTGCTTCCAATTTTCCATTATTAAAAACAATGCTAGATGAGTAACTGTTCATTAGATGAATTCTTAGAAGTGGAATTACTGGGTTAAGGGGTAGACATTTTTCAGGCTATGATGCACAGTGTTACAGTGCACACATAAGCTTCTAAAGGCTCCTTTGTATGACTTGTCCGCCTCTGTTTCCAGTACTCTTTATCAGCAGGGCAGGGTGCAACAGCAGATCCTGTGGTCTCTTTAAACTTTGCCCCCAAAGAAAATATATCATTATACCAAAATTCTTTTTCAGAAGTAAAACCATTATGTAAGTCATCAGTCATAAGAAACAAAATGAATGCTCATAAGAAACAAAATGAATGCTCATTGATATCATTTAATATTCAAAATGCAGCTGCCTACATTTTCAATTAAGTGATATCAATTCCATTTTTAAATGGTCCTCCCTAAGTAAACATGAAAAGACCCCTCAAGTTTGTATATTACTTTTCAGTTTACAAACCACTTCCACTTGTGTTTTCTTATATATTCCTTGCCATTAGTTATTATTTTTCCCTGGTCGATACATGAAGAAAGTGAGGCCCAGAGAAGTGACTTGCCTGAAGTCACAGAGCTGATAATCAGTGTCTTCTGGTTCCACGTTCATTGCTTTTCAAATTACAGATGATTCATTTACCAGTCCTTGAGATCTAATCATAATGAGTAAAGTGTAGTATAGATGTTTCTAAGACTTCTTTTTCAAGCTAGAAAGAGGTGGTAATGGTTTGGAAAAAGTGGCTGAAAGCTGTGATTTAATAGGAAGCCATTTTGTGACTGATACATAGTACAGAAATACAAACAGTATTTCCCTTTGCCCCTGGAATCCTGTGATAACCTTCACTGAGCTGCTAGAGTTGTGATGTCAAGAACGGTGGACTCTGGGGTCAGCTTGTTGGATTCAAACGTTGGCTTTAGAGAACAAATTACATGATCTGAACAAATTAACCTTTCTGTGCTACTGTTGCTTCACCCATATAATGAATAATAATAGCTCCCACCTCCCTGGGTTATTGTGAAAATTAGATGAGATCATGTGAGTGCCCGGCACATGCTAACTGCCTGCTACATAACACCTCTTATTGCTAAGTGCTGAGGACTAGATAATACTGTTCCTCTGTTTTATCCTGAGGAGGAGGGGACATGGAAGAGGCTGGTGCAGGACAAGTTCAGAGTGAAAATAGCCTTCTCTCCTGCTGGCTGTTTAAAAAAGATAATTAAAAGGCTTCTCTAGTAGACTATAACTGGCTTTCAGAAGCTTGATTACGATATGGTCTAGTGTAGTTTACTTTGTGTTTACTCTATCTTGTGGTTTGTTGAGCTTCTTGAATCTGTGGGTTTATAGTTTTCGTCAAATTTGAAATATACTTGGCCGTTATTTCTTCAGTGGTTTTCTTCCTTCCCTTCTGGGACTCTAATTACAAGTATATGAAACAGCTTGATATTGTCTGACAGATCACTAAGACTTGGTTTGATTATTTTTTCCCAGTCTTTTTTTCTCTCTGTGCTTCAGCTTGGAAAGTTTGTATTACTATGTTTTTAAGTTCACTGACCCTTTATTTTGTCATGTCTGATCTGCTATCAATCATGTGAAATTAAAATCATTTCATTTCAGATATTGTATTTTTCAACTCCACAAAGTTCCATTCGGTTCTTTATTGTATCTTCCATTTCTCTCCTCATGACATTCATTTTCTATCAAATCTTTGGGCATATTTATATTCGTTATTTTAAGGTCCTTGTCTGCTAATTCTATCCTCTGTCATCTATGGGTCCATCTCTCTCTTTACTGTTTTTTCTCCTTGTTATAGGTTGTGTTCTCTGGCTTCTACACCTGTCAGGTATATGCCTGCTCAGGAATGGGCTGACTCCCTGGAATCTGAGGCAAAGAGAGAAGGAAGGAGGAGAAGAAGTAAGGAGGAACAACACAGGCTTCTGTCAAAGAAAGGTCAAGAACAACAAGATTCCGAGCAGAAGCAACAGCAAAAGCATCTTTCATCTGTATGGCACTTCAAGGTTCACAAAGCACCTTCACCTTCATTACCCTCCATAACTTACGGGACATCCTTTCCTGGAAACTGGGACAGATATTATTATCACCAGTTTACAAGTGAGAAAACTGAGCTCAGACATATTTAAGTGACTTGGCCAGACTCACATATGCCCAGAAGTCTAAGGGCCATTGTTAACATTCCTATTCACCTATGACGTCTTCCATTCAGGTGTTTAGAAAAAAAGCTTAGAATCTTTGCCTCAAGAAATTTTGAGGCACACACAAACCTGATAGACTCTCAGAGTTCTTGAAACTACCACCATTCATTTGTTAAATTATTTATGGAAGACTAAAGGATATTTGCTACCACCACCAATATCTCAGCTTCTCCCAGAGCATGAAAGACATGTGAAGTAGATTAGGAGGATTCTAGTGCTTTTTTCATAAACATGTTGGCATTTACTAGCAGGGAGTCCACGGATGTCTTACCATGATGCTGGGACATCTGCCTCACCTTTGGTCATTAATTAGCCTTGCATCATTGGTATATTGCAGCCCTCGTTTCCAACTCTGGACCATCTAGTCTAAAAATGGTTGAGTGATTTATACCTAGTGTAGTACAGATTGCACTAGGACTCTTTTTTTTTTCTCTCTTTTCAAGGAATTATACCAGCAAATTCGTATCTATATCAGTAGTTTTAAAACTTTTCATTTTTACCAGAAGAATACCTTTAAAAAAAAAAAAAAGAATCTTATGTGGAGCCCAACCACATAACACAGATAAAAATGGAACTGGTCTGGTCGAAAGGGGGGAGATGGGAGACGTGGAGCTGCCAGGATCCCAGCTACTTGGCAAGCCCCTTACCTCTCACATGGTAAACTTAAGGCCCTTCTCTTGAACCCTATAACTCCAAAGAACTGGGAGAAACTACTGGCCTGTATAATAAAATTAAAACATCAATTTATCCTTCCTTTTGTCCAAACAATATTTACTGAGTCCCCACTCTGTGTGAGATACTGTGTTAGATCTTCCGGGGGTTGGGGGACAGCGGTAACAGATAGAGGGGAGAATACGGAGATGGGACACACCTCAAGTAGTTCACAATTTAGGAGGACTAAGTCCACTAAGGACTATCTACAGTATAGGGTAGAAAGGAAATGCCACAACAGAGGTTCAGATCCAGGGCCTTTAGAAGCATTCTCCCGACATGAGGGCTCTAGCTCAAGTTCATAGAATACAACAGTAATACCATAACTACGGACGGGGCCTTGGTCCTGCTGAAGCATCCAAGAAAAATTTCAGTGCATGAAAGTTATCTCTGAGAGGAAAGATTATGGCCAGCTTCTAATTGTCATCATGCTTTGTAAAAAATAATTTTCAAGTTTCTACACATTATACATATTATTTTAGCATTCAGAGAAGAAAACCTTAAGAAAAGTAAAAGACCATCATGACAAATTGCAAGAAATGATTTATCTTTACTTTTTAAATGGCGCCATCTTTAATGTTAAAGAAAAACAGCAGGTGAAATACTATTTTAAACTTTCCACGTATTCTTTTATTTTGGGTAAGCTTGAAAAGAGTACCAGATAGGAAACGGGTCTGAAGTGGTAAGCACCTGTTTAGAGACTTCCCGGGCTCCTTTGCTGGGCTTTCTGGGTACTCCATCTCCAGCATCAGCCCTCACTTAACTTCCCAGCCATAGCAACGCCACCACCCCCACTGCACCCCACCCCTGGTTCCTGCTGCAGACTCTACACTCCAGGCACACAGGCTGATGCTCCCCGAGTGGGCTCTGTACGTGCTCCTTCCACACCGTCACTCATTGCTCCTTCTGCTGGAACACGCCTTCCTTCTCTCCACTTGATAAAATCTTACTCACGCTTCCAAGCCCGGCTCACCTGCCGCCTCCTCTGGGAAACTTTCGATATATCCCTGTACCGCTTACGACCTTCACTTTCAAGGTGAAGATAGATGGATGCTCTCTTCTCTATTGTCATTGGGGTTGTTTATTTCTCTGTTGTTGAATTTATCAGAGTCTGCTTTGCAATGTGTCAGTGTACATCCCTGTCGCTAGTATAGAACTAAGAGCTCTCTGAGGGCCTGGATGGTGCCCTTCTCATCATTTTCCCCACAGTCCCTGGCAGAGCTTCTGGCACCTGGTCTGTGCTTGATAAATATTGCAGAGAATGAGGAGAAAGAAGCCTGAGGAGCTGAGCCTGAATACAACAAGAAGAATTTTGAGACTAAAACAAAAAAGGGGACCAAGACAGCAGGTGGGGAAGGCAGAAAAAACCTTCACACAGGTGTCTCCTTCTCAAGGAAGGCATCTTGTTGAGCTCACTTGGTGCCAAGATCTGCTGCCACCTCATTCCCTCAGTTTCCACAATGCTACTTCTCTTTACCTCATAATGGGGTCAGAATTAGTTAGGGCTATGTTGCTTTAAAGTAACAGAAGCTTGGGGTGCCTGGATGGCTCAGTTGGTTGGGCGTCCAACTCTTTTTTTTTTTTAAGTTTTTATTTATTTATTTGACAGAGAGAGAGAAAGCAAGAGCGAGAGCACACAAGCAGGGGGAGCAGCAGAGGGAGAGGGAGAAGCAGGCTCTCCGCCTAGCAGGGAGCTTAATGTGGGGCTCGATCCCAGGACCCTAGGATCATGACCTGAGCCCAAGGCAGATGTTTAACTGACTGAGCCACCCAGGCGCCCCTGAGCATCCAACTCTTGATTTCGGCTCCTGTCATGATCTCATGGGTCATGGTATCTAGCACCACATTGAGCTCTGTGCTCAGTGGGGAGTCTGCTTGAGAGTTTCCTTCCCTCTCCCTTTCCCCCTCCCCAAACACTCCCTCATGTGCTCTCTCTCAAAATAAATTAAAAAATCTTAATAAAAAAATAAAGTAACAGAAGCCTAATCTGCCCATAAAAATATAAAATAAAAATAGCATGGGGAGAACTTTTATTGGAGGGATACTTGGGAAATTCTTAAAACTTAATAATAAGAAAACAAACACCCCAATTTAAAAAGGGCAAATATTTCATTAGACACTTCACCAAAGAAGATATGTAGATGACAAATAAGCACACGAAAAGATGCTCAACATCAACAATCATTAGGAAAATGGGAATTAAAACCGCAAAGAAATACTACTAGGATGTCTACAGTTAAAAAGACTGACTAAACCAAGTGTTGGTAAAGATGTAGAACAATCAGAACTCTCATATACTTCCAGGGGAAAGTAAAAATGATACAATGACTGTGGGGAAAATGGCTTGGCAGTTTCTTAAAAAATTAAATACATGTCTACCACACAGCCTACCCATTCTATTCCTAGGCATTTACCCTGGAGAGTGAAAGCGTGTCCGCACACAGACTTTGCATGTCAGTGCTCATAACAGCCTTACTTGCAATAGCCTCAAACTACAAACCACCCAAATGGTAATCAGCAGAAGAATGGATAAATAAATTGAAGTATATCCATAGAGTGGATTACTACTTGGCAATAAAAAGGAATTAATTATTGCTATAGGCAACAACATGGATGAATATCAAAATAATTTATGTTAAATGAGAGAAGTCAGACACCCCCCATCCCCTCAAAGAACATGATCTCATTTATATAAAATTCTAGAAAATGCGAACTAATCACCATGACAGAAAGCAGATCAGTGGTTGCCTTGGGATGGTTGGCAGGGGAAGGAGGCAAGTAGGGGCAGGAGGAAGGGATTGTGAAGAGCCATGAGAAAGCTTTTGGTGGGTAAAGTTTATCTTTATTGTGGTGATGGTTTGGGGGTATATACTTTTGTCAAAACATAAAATTGTAGACTTTCAATCTTGCAGTTTATTATATGTCAATGATACCTTGATAAAGCTGTTTTTAAAAAGCTAACAAACAGACCGTTTCTCTTAAAACTAAATATGCACTTACCATACCGAAAAATTGCACTCTTGGGCATTTCTCCCAGAAAAATGAAAACTGATGTTTACACAAAAATCTCTACATGAGCGTTCATAGCAGCTTTATTCATCTTAGCAAAAAACTGGAAACAACACAAATGTCCTTAAAGGATGAGCGGCTAAACAAACTCTGGTGCATTCATCCTATGGCAAACTACTCAGCAATAAAAAAGAATGAATTATTCATATATGCAACAACTTGGAAGGATCTTAAGGGTATTATGCTTAGTGATAAAAGGCAATCTAAAAAGGTTAAATACCATATGATTCCATTTAAAATCATCCTCAAGTGACAAAACTGTAGAGATGGAGAGCAGATTAGTGGTTGCCAGGGGCCAGGGGTGGTTTAGGGAAGTGTGACTCTGAAGAGGAAGCCCAAGGGAGTTCCTTTGTGGTGATGAACAGTTCTGTATCCTGATTGTTGCAGTGGCTACACCATGCGGGGTCAAATTGCATAGAACTATACACACCCACACACCCACACACCCACCCACCCACGCGCACACGCGCACACACACACACACACAAATGACCGTGTGTAAAAACTGATGCCAACTGAATGAGGTCTGTAGTCTACTTAGCAGTATTACACCAATATCAATTTCCCAGTTTTGATATAGTACTGCAGTCCTGTAAGATGTCCTCACTGGGAGAAGCTGGGTTCAAGGGAACCTATGAGCTATTTTTGGAATTTTCTGTGATCTATAATGATTTCAAAATAAAAAGCTTAGAAACATGCATACTGGAGATTTAAGAAAACAAACAACAACAATAAAAACCTCTTCTGGAGACTTCAGGTTGGGCTGGTGAAGTTAAAGCTTCCTAAGGCACATTTCTCCCTGAAAGTTCTTCCTAACACCTTTAATTAATTAGCCAGTATGAGACAACAAATTCATATTCCCACCCATATTAAACAAAGGCAAAACCCAGAAATGTTGAGCAAGTCTATGAACATGTAGTCTTGACTGGTCTTATTTCTTCAAGGCAGAAGGCACCAGAATGGGAGTTTACAGAGGTCAGGGACACTGTCTTTCCAATTCTATCACCTAGGATAAGGCCTGGTTCATAGAAGGAGCCCAGTAAAAGCCTTCGGAAGGAAACCCGATGGGGAGGGAGGGAAACAGAAGGGTAAAGAAAGGGAAGAAACCTCTGCTTGACTTGGGACAGTGTCTTCTCTTTAGTGTCAGTGTAAAAAGGCTGGTGTTTCCTTTTAGTTAATGACAGATCTGGGTACAGGACCAGTTCCATGTAATGGAGGGAGTGAGGGCAAGGAAGGAGAAAGTCCACTGTGTAAACCTCTGCATCCTTAGACAATGAGAATCCTAACTCCTGCTGGACTTCCCTTTTGCTGGGGGCAAGGGTGCCCTGCTGAGGCTGCCTGTGTAGAGACTAGAGCCAGGCTGGGAATGGGAGGGGCTGAGAGGGTCACGGAAGCCATCTACAGTGGAAGATTTTAAGGATGTATATGAGCTGAGGTCTTGACAAAGAACCCACATTCAGCCAAAGATGAACAGATTCCAAACCCAGTTCAGAAGTCCAGTGTGGAACCCAAGGGGAACCTAGAACCAGAAGTCAGAAGGGGACAGGACTGGCATGATCAAAGACAAACGTGGAGCATCTAAGTAGTTGGGGAGGCTTGCCCCCCGCTGTTCATGTGCCCACCTGATGGCTGACTTACTAACACAATCAGAGCTGACTACTTCATATTTTGTAAAAAAGTTACAAGAATATGAAACTTTTGAGACTATCTTGGACTCCTCAAAGTGTTAGTAAAATAGTTAAATATTTATTCAGATTCTTAGGCCTTCTTTACTCAACACCATTTTGAAAATTATGTAATTCGGCTTTAGTAGGTTGACTGGGTTCAATGTGAGTAACATAACCAAACTGCCATCTTGTTCTGGTTCATACCTCCTTCTCCCCTAGGACTCCAAGCCTTTGTGTTTTAAATAGTGTGAGCCTGGGGTGCCTGGGTGGCACAGTCAGTTGAGTGGCTGGCTTTTTATTTTGGC